GGCCCCTACCTGGCCCTCGATCGTCGCATCAACTCCTTTGGTCTATTTTATTTATCTCCCGTTCCCGTCTTTCGTTGCGTTTTGGTCCTCATACGTCCTGGCGATTGATATCCCGCTCTAGTATCTTTCACATCCTCTCCTCTTTAAGAGCCATCTGTTCCCCCCCAGTTGACCCTTTAACGGTACCTGCGTCTAGACTACTGGCCTTCAGCTGTGAACAGACCACCTCCTGATCCCTTCTTTCATCGCTTCGCGCCTGTGAACGACTACATCTCATCAGCTATCGTGTGTTGATACTGTGCAAACTGAATTTGAAAACTTGCAAGTCTTCTGTTCCGTTGACTTTTCATCACCGACCGCCCGATCGACAGTGCATCACTTTGTGGAGGGTACAGGAAAAAATTTAACCATTTTTGCCTAACCCCTGCGGTCCTCGGTTCTTCCACCTTACACATACACCACGCGCGTTCCTTCAACGCTCAACTACACAGAACTTCGTCGCCGCCCAAAACCGAAAACCCGACAACGAAATCCTGTCGCCGGCCGACCTCTCTCCTCCCGCTTCGACCGAACCCGCATCGAAAAGCGGTCTGCAAGATTTCCCGTCCACCTTGTCAGTGCGACCATACACGTCACTTGCAAACAAACGCGGAAAGGTGAGTCGCATAAGTTGTTTTTCGGGACCTGACACTCGGCGGATCTTGGATACCGATGATGCCGTCTCTGTGCGACTGGTTGGACCTAAGCATGCTGTTGCATTCGCTTACCCATCTGTCGGTCTCTTCGGGATGTCGTTATTTGTATTGACACCTCGAGCATCAAACATGGCCCGCTATCATATCAAGACAAAGTAACTAACATGCATCGTCGCAGCCAACGTCAGCTTGACCGCCTTCCTGCCGTGATCCGTCACTTGTGAGCGCCCTCGCACACCCTTCCCCAAACGCGCCACGTCTTCAGCTGGCAATCCCCGCCATATTGAAGATGAGCGGCATGCGATCACCAGCTCCTACGGAGGTTATGGACATCACCAACATGCTCAATAACAAAGGTCAAATGCAACAACTTACTTCCGGTCTCCTCGATCACCAACAATACCAACACGCCTTCGTTAAGCACGAACCCGGTATGGAGCGATCAGCCTCACCTCACGGCTCTGAGCACTCGCAATACTCCAACCCTCACAGTATCGCCCGAGCCTACCCATCGCCATCCACGATGCAAGCGCCGATGCATATGCCGAACCCTATGTCCGCCGCCATGACAATGCAAGGCTATCCCGAGATGCCCAACATGGGAGGCATGCCTCACATGCACATGCAACAGATGCCTCAACAACCCCCGCCTCCTCCCCAGCAACCCATCAAGGCTTATCCTTGCAGTACCTGTGGCAAGGGATTCGCTCGACGCAGTGATCTTGCTCGCCACGGTAAGTAAACATGAATGCTGAGAGACTGACTGGCAATGCTAATGAGTCCCAGAGCGCATTCACAGCGGAGTTCGACCCCATGTTTGCGACTGGCCCCAATGTGGAAAGCAATTTATTCAAAGATCTGCCTTGACTGTGCATCAGCGCGTGCATACTGGAGAGAAGCCTCACCACTGCGAGACTTGTGCAAAGGTTAGTGCCCAAAACTCTGGTATTTGTGACAGTCGCTTACCAAATACAGCCCTTCAGTGACAGCAGCTCCCTGGCCCGACACCGCAGGACTCATTCTGGGAAGCGTCCCTACAAATGCCCCTACGCTGATTGTCAGAAGACATTCACTCGCCGCACCACCCTCACCCGCCATCAGAACCACCACAGCGGTACTATCGAGGAGGCTGCCGCCGCGACCGCTGCTGCTCTTGCCGCGTCAAAGTCGAAGGGCTTGTCACAGACTCGGTCCGAAAGCGACCACATGTCTAACCACGGCTCGCCCTTGACGACTCCTTCTCCTAGTCAGCGAACTATGTCTATGTCGCCCAGTGTCGATCTGTCTGGTAACAACAGCATCCCCCGTCACCCTGGTGATTTTCAGTACCTGTCACAGAATGGTTCTCTGCCCATGCATATGCGTGTTGGCAGCCCTACCTCCACCTCGTCTGGCGGTTTCAATATGATGCGACCTACCTCGCATCCCACTAGCTATGGCCCTCCTCCTACTCTGGAGCCTAACCTGGATAACAGCCAGGGTACGCCCAGCAGCAATGGTGGAAGCCCTCACATGGCCAACGTTGGCTGGCAGTCTCCCTCGCACATGGCGTCGCCCTCGCAGAACAACGCCAGCTATGTGTACCCTGACCCCGCGGATGCGTATCCTGCCAACCAAGCCATGAACCAAATGTATTACAGTGCCGCTGCGCACATGCGCCGACCCCAGAGCACTGAACCTGGACTGGTACACATGGCTTAGTCAGACATATTGCCAGATTCTGACGTTTGAGCAATGCTCAAGGTCGTCTTTCTTGTGATGATCAGGAGTGAGCTCACCGATACCCTGTATTATTGAAGTTGTGTCCGAATCGGGCACGAAGATTATGGCGGCGTTAATTCCTTCTGGACTGGATTCCCATACCCATACCCCTTCAGCTGAGCTTGCCACAGCTGACGACAAGTTGTGCGCATGTCTTAGTCTAATATCAATCCCCCCACAACACAAATCACTCTCCCGTCTAATAGGCGGGCTCGCTCCTAGATGGAGCATGCTCTGAACGTTGATCTCTGCACTGTTTCGTGTTTTTCATGCTTTATCGATTCCCCCATCTCTCATACATTATGGATGCTTTTTCGTTTCCTTTGTTCTAGTATCAAATAGACTGGCGGATGGCAATGTGATGAACGACGGACAGGACATTGCATTTGTCTGCATAACGCAAACATAGGACGGGAGTTACACTGGAACATTTGCTTGTTTTTTCTTCTTTATCTTCTGAACGTATCAGAGACAAAGACAGCAGGCATTATGGGAAGCACAAGACGCTGGCATGTTTGTGTATTATTATGTAGACTTGGACTTGGGGACTGGCAACCAACATAGACTTGTTATTTGATGCGATGAATATATTACTACACTCAACAAAAACGATTATCAGCCCGCATATGACTAGTTTATGCTGTGACACCCACACATAGACACCTCATGCTCTAGAACCAGAACATCAGCTATCGGTTGATATATCGGTCAGCCGCGGCCGATGTCCTTCGGCAATCATTGCCAACTGATATGTACCCCTCAATTGAGCCGCATGGATAAACATCTGGTGTTTCACTGCCCAGAGAGATCGACAAATCACCCCTCGTCTAAATCCGTGCTGTCAAGCCCGAAAACCTCCATGACGTCTGTCACGTAGAACAAAGCCTCCACGAGCACGCGACTGTCAAGCCCAGCGACCGGTCTAGACTTTTTCAAGACCATAAATTTCAGCTAAGAAGCTGAAACCACGCCATTTTGGAATAAGAAGAGAAAAAAACACAATAAAAAGCGAAAAAGCGAGAAAGCTTCTCCCCCCTGCCTAATTCCCGGTAGTGCAGACTAGACCCCCGCAGAACGGCGATTTTCTGATTATTCATCGCAGACATATTCAATATTCAACGACAGGCCACGGTGGGCGGCATTGATGCCTGGTTTTGCCAATCGGGCAGCCCTGACGCCGGCTGAGCTGGACTTTTATCATGCACGAGAGGGCTTGGATGGAAGATGTTTGGCTAAAGCCCTGGTCCCTGGAGGGCAAAATGTGAGATTTCATAATACAGGACGGACGGGGAGGAAGTGCTCCGTTGATATATATAAGTGTCTTGGGTTGTTTGCTTTGCAGATCAACAGTGGCTTTCTCACTAAAGTGTGACGGTATTCAACGGTTTTTTAACTTTTGGTGTTGGCGTCCATCTTTACTTATACGCCCTGACTACTTGAACGCTCTACAAACAGAGATTCTTCCGTATTCTTTTCTAGCACTCTCTCTTCACTTTAAACCATGCTTATTGACATCGTCATCCATGGAGACATTCTATGTCCGTGGTGCTTTCTCCAGAAAAAGACTCTCGAGGACGCCATGGAACGATATCAAGCACTCCACCCAGAAGTTGAGTTCGATGTCACATGGAAGCCCTTTCTGCTGTACCCCACGCTACGAAGAGGTAATTCTACCCTGCCTCTACATCTCGCTGTTATTCTAACCCATCCCAGGTGACAAGCGTGCCCTCTATGAAAAGCTCATGTCCCCAGAGAAGCTGCGTCTTTTCACTTCTCGACTCCAAACAGCCGGTGCTCGTTACGGCATCGAATTCTCTGTGACTGGCAAGACAGGGCCTTCACAGCCTGCCCATCGACTTGTGGCCTTGACCCTTGAAACTCGCGGGGCAAATGTCCAGTCTGCCTTTCTTGATGCTCTGTTCCGTGGTCACTTTGAAAACGGGGCTGACATTGCAGACGAAGCCTGGTTGATGCACGTAGGCCGAACAGAGGCTAAGCTCGAAGATTCTGATATGAGAGCCGCGCTTCTGGGGCCTGGTCTGGGGAAGACACTCGAGGACGAGGTTAGAACTGCTGCCATAGCGGGTGTAGAAGCCGTGCCATGCGTTACGGTTCAGAAGAAGTATCGAGTTGGGGGGTATCAAGAGTCAGACATCTTTGAGAGCTTGTTTGACAAGATACGGCGGGAGAACAGGTAAAGACAAATCAATGTTGGGACCAAGGGCATGGAAAGTGAGATTTACACAATTTAGATAGAAGGCTTGTCACGTACTACGGCAAAAGGCGACTGGAGTTTTGGATATTGAACAATGCTGTTGATTGAATAATTTAAAACATGCCGCTGCCTTGTTCCCTAGGTCTACCCGACTATGCCCGTCTCATAATGCCCTTTGTCTTTTTTGTTTGACCATAATCTCAATAGGGTCCTTTATCGCCAAACGCCAAATAAAAATCAAATCAAATCAAATAATTCGTTCGTCCCTTGAGTCACGAGCTCATCACCCTAACGCCTTGAAATGAAAACAATTATGATACACGCGTTCCCTATCGTCGCATGCCACTGTAGTCTTGCATGAGATGCGCCATGTGCACGTTGGTAGCCTTGCCGATCCTGTTGCCCTTGCGACGTTTCTGAGCCTTGGGCTTGTTGGCCAGTCCATCCTTCGCCTTGCGGGGATCCTCGCTTGTAGGCTTTTGACCGACGCTCGTAAGCTTGCGGTGCATCTCCTCGAGGGCTGGTAGTTGCACACGCTGCCACATGCTCTGGAACTCTGGCTGGACCTTGTGATGCAGGGAGGGATCGTCGGGCCAAACGTATCGCGGGATGTTATCCTTTTTGGTACGCACCACCAAGATTTTGTGCTGACGCTCGAGGGATGATATTGTGTCTTCGCAGTCGGGCCAGCCGTCCTTGAGATCCTTCACTGACACACCTGAGGCGTCTGTCTTGGCTTGAAGATGAGCGAGAAGGCTGGTTGAGTCCTTGACTCCGGGAATGATAGGTCGATGGACATAAGTGCCAGTCTTCCAGTTCTGTTCGCTCAGGTTTGCATCAGGCTTCCACTCTACACGAGGGTGTCCTCGCAGACCTTCAGCAAGTTGTCGCTTGTGCTCATCGTCAAAATTCCGCAAACTCAGATGGTCGATAATATCCGTGATGGTCTTTGCGTCGCCCTTCTTTTTTAGGTAATCGACAGCATAGGTCATTTGCGTCTTGACGCCAGCACCATAGCCTGTGAGCTGCGGCTGAGAGTAGGGCACCTCGGGGCCTGCATCTCGTTTTCGCTTGGAAGTAGGAGTATTTGGATCAGAGGCTGCTGAAGGAGATGGTGAGGGAGGAGCAAGCGAAGGGACGGCGAGAGATGAAGCCTTGTTTGTTGATGGATTTGAGATCTTTGTCGCGGCTGCTGAGAGGGTTCCCTTGAAGGCATTTGTCTGCCTTTCCAAATAGGACGACATGATGATCTAGGAAAAAAGAATGTATTCTCTGCGGATCGGAGATGAAGATCGAGAGGTCGCGCTTGTATTGTAGGGGATTGTTGTCAAGGAGAGACGGCCAGGGCGGACAGCGAAGAACAAAGGAATAAGGAAAAACGAAGATGGGGGTTGAGGTTGCGTGAAGTAAGCTTGAAGTTTGGATTGACGTTGATCAGGCGAGGCTGATGTTCACGTTAGTGTGGCGCTAGGTAGGTACCAGCAGTGACCAGGGGGGGTGCACTGCTGTGGTTGTGCTACTAACCTCCACTGACTGTACAATCGTTTGGTATCCAGAATGAGGCTCAATGTGTGAGTGAGTACAGAGTGTGTGCTTGTAAGAGGGAAAAACATAATGGCCAATTCATGGACATTGAGCGCATATTTGTATTTGCTTGAATTGGACGTACGTACAGTCATAGGCAACTGATATCAAACTCTCTTGTTATACATCGTGGCAAAATGAGGTCTTTTGAGAGGTTTGTTTCCGTCATAATTCACAAGCAAAAAATGAAATTGATTGTGAGAAACGTAGCATCAATCACCATTGGTCAAGATATTGCAATATATACTTGTCGGCCGCAAGTTTAAGCTTTAATCAGCTCAAGTTTCGACCTGTTTCTCGATAACCATGGATCCTTAGAGTTGTCATGTGCTTGGAAAATAATGAAACTCCATCTTAACATTTCAACTCTGTAGAATCCCATAGGTGAAGAGGTCGACGTACGGTTAAAGAACCATACAAAGGCCACTCAGTGAGAACTTAGTATCTAGTAGGGTTTAACCACGAAAGGTAAATGGGGGAAATGGTCATAACCAGTCATTGATTAAAAACAGTGATATATATTTACTTTACTTGATTGCACCAAGATTTGTCATCTCCATTGTTGAATGCATGTACCGTGCTCATGTGACACCGTGGCCCATGAGACGAGATGGCCGAATGGTCTGTCTGACTGCGCATGAGTCGCGCCTCGCAAATGGGTCTCGTCTGCGCTTCGCTGCGATCCTTATCTTTCTTCTCGGGTTTCGGTTGCACTTCCCGATCCCCTCTTCCGTCCACCCCCAACAAAAAAAGTAAAATCCCGAAAATCGGGACTGGCATGGGCTTTGACATTAGTGAATTCGCCGCTGCCCACTGTTCTCATCATGTCCAAGCCGGGGTAAGCTGCATTTAGTAGCTGCGCGCCCGCTGTCTATCACCGACCTCTGTTCAGGCCAAAGAAAACTCCCAATGCATAGTTGCCCTTAGACATACATCTGCATTGATGCCGTAGCAAAATCCAAAGAACACCTTTTTTTTTTTTCTCTATCCTCATTCATGTGATGCAATTGATATGAGGCGCTTATGCGGAGGCTTGGCCTTGAGCCTCTTGCTGCTTCTGGAGATAGTTGTAGGCAACGTAGGCGATGAAACCAACGGCGACAACAATGGCGTATGTGTTCAAGCTGGAGCCGGCGGGATCAGACTTGCCGCTTCCCTGGTTCGAGTTGGCGATTTGGCGCTTGGGGCCCTCGTCACCAGGCTGTAATAACACATGTTAGCGTTTGCTCCGTCGAGATTGAGGGTTCTGCTAGTTACTCACCAGACGCTTGAGCTCACCCACGAGAAGACCGTCGAGAACCTCTCGGGCCTCGTCACTGTGGCCAACATCCTCGAAAGCCTCTGTGGCATCCTGACCGGCAACGTCGAGCATGACCTCCTCACCACCGCTAAGTCGATGTTAGTATCCGGAGCAACGATTGCGTCACGTAGCGCAGAAGTATAGCAATAGAACGTACGGGTGCTCGTCGAGGAACTTGGTGCAGTCGTAGACCTTGTCGTGAACAACCATGTAGATGTCGCTGGAGGTGTTGTGCTCAGCAACATCCTGCATGGTGAACTCCTTCTTCGCGGACATGATTGCGGTGTTGATGTGACGGGTCGTGAAGAGAATTGGGGGTTCTGGTCTTGTCCGAGGGCTGTCGTCGCACAAGTGCTTGGTGGGATTGGGATTGTAGGAGGATGGGAGTGGAAGAATGGAAGAGAAGAAAGGAGGAGAGAAGAATGGAAAGTCACAAGCAACGCAACTGGACGGAACCTAGCCCAAGTTAACAGCTAAATTAAATTTAGGTCCCCTGTTTCTAGGTGGCCTTCTGGAGAATTGGCGGCGGCCACTCTTCCCAGGGGCCCATAGATGCTAGGTAAAGGGAGTAAAGTACTGCCCCACACAGATTCTATGTACTCGGTACATGATCCTGATCCTGATCCTGTCCATTGCGGCGTCTTACCTTCTATTGTTTGTTTCAATCTGTTCTGATTCCTCGGAAGGTCATCGGAAAGGAAGTCGACCGAAATCGTCCCGTACTACCGGATTCTGGGGGGTCCAATTGTATCCGTTTAGATTACCTACTACTACTTGTCTCTTTATGATCATTTTCGGTACATTTCTCTCCTGTTTAACATGTACCTTTTGCTACTCACAACCTTATCATCCGGGCCACGACTGGTAGTGAAGTCTACCTCAACCTCCCTCACATCAACCTCACCCACTTGAAGTTCCTGGTACGATTCGGTGTCCCAACATCCGGACCCATTCCCTATAAGGCCCGTCGCCGAGGGTACTTTTGAGCCAATCGTAGCCATCAAAATTACCGTCGCTAATCTCTGATTCGTCGCTTTTTCTCAACCCCAGCCTTACCAACCTAAGTAACTTGTACGGCTGCTGATGAGGCCCAAGAACCGTGGGCTAGCACAATTCCCTTCTTTGATTCCGTTTGTTTGCTGGCATCCATACGAATACGGTGATTTCTCCCCGCCCCAGCTTCAATACCACTTCACCGTCATTTTGAACGGCGGGTTCCATTGCTTTTCATACCCAACGTGGTATGATTCTTCATGTCTATGATCAAATTATGGTGATCCAATCCGAAAGGCATCGGATAGTTATTACTCAAATTCTTCCGATCTCTTCCGTGAAGGACAGATTGGCAATAGGCTACAAAACAGTTATCAACACCAGATCTGCCCCTCCAAACCCATATATGATCTCCCCCGCATCTTAGAAACTAAGGCAAACATCACCGGTACATACCTACCTAAAACACGGACCTATCCTCCGTCTACCGCGGGGTTATATCATTGTCACAAGTCACATCCTGGGAGGAAATTACCCTTTCAAGACAAGTTTGGCGGGACATCTCTCATGATAAAGAGTCAAGATAACCGGACACTATGCCGACGTGTTCCATGGGCAACCTAATTCCGAGGAACATCACAGCTCTGCTGGCACATGCTGTGATATCAAGAGCTGAAGGTCACTCGCAAACCAGTACCGATGGAGATGCCGATTTCCGATTTCCGAGGAAAGACATCTCTAACGTTTACCCTTTGCGGTTGACTTATGCAAGATAAGCAAGATATGACAGAGGCATTGCTTGCTTGCTGTGAGCCTCTTTCTTATGTCTCACATGGGCTGGTAGCTTTGGGTCCTTTAAGCTTATGACCATCTAGGTAAAACCACCCGGAGATTGAGTAATTGACAATATCAGAGGGCCTTGAATTAAGTACTGCAAGCTGCTCTCAGATAGCGAATAGATAGAACATCAAGTGACCTTTGTAGTTAGACTGACGTATAGATTTTCCTACTGCTCAACCACTTTACATCATCGGTCATGTATGCCCGGAGTGCCATCCGTCAAACTGCTGTCGGTCACAAATTCGGGTTATATGGTACACGTTGCGCATAAGACTAGAAGCCTCCGAAGCGTTCCATGCCAAACGCCTACCTTAATCTAGTGATTCGCGGACTCGGGATCATGCAGTCATTAAAGACTTGGATAATACGCTTTGATTATCGAGATAATCGCATCCAAGCCCAAGCTATCCTCGATCGATGCTCGGATTCTTAATCCTCCAACTCAGGAGAGACTAGTACCTTGAATATAGACATCGATCCTTGGCATGTATTCTACGTTGTTTCTCATCCAGTCTATCGTTCAAATTCGTGCGCTGCTAATGACCATGCTCTATCTCCTTGAGCTTCCACCACCAATGTCTTGACCCAGCCTGTAGCTCGTCACGCGATCCCACTCAATTTTCTGTCTCGTCACAGGAAGCTGTCGTCGCAAGCCCTTGAAGGCTCCCTCGCTGAGGCTCACGAAGCCCTTGTTCAGCTCCTCCTGGTACTTTCTCTCCGTGGTCGAGATCTCCTTAACGATGCTGGTGCCGTTGACAGAGGAGATGGTGCTGGAAACGGGTTTGTTGGTAAGCAGACGAACGTTGCCGTCTTCGTAATAGTGTACGTCAACTTTTAGGGAGCCTTCGAGAGCTCCGGAAGATGGGTCAAGAATGTAAAGCGAGCGCCAGCGTCCGTTCCTAGGGACATTAGCTTCGTGGAACACGACTGTTACATAGAAAACCTACCAGAAGTTGTTGGGGCTATATTTGTTGCCAACAATGACAATGGCGATCTTGGAGTCCGACTCGATTGGGTAGACACCGTGCGCAGCATTGGCGAAGTGCTCATCAACGTAAGGTCCGATACTCTTGAGGGTGGATTTACTATGATCGCATGTTAGTACTTCACGCTGTCCAACCGGTTCGAGCCAACTTACACAAGATCCGCTTGAGCTCCCTCCAGAACATGGCTTTGCACGGCACTAGCTTTCTATTCCTCCGTCAGAACCGTATACCCGTTTGTGTAGGCATGCGCAGCTCACCTGCGTAGTGTGGTCGAAAGCAAAGCTGGAAGAGCTCTCAACATCGTAGTATCGGCCGTCTCCAAGCGAGTTGTGAGAGCTAATAATGACCTAGCGCACCTCATCAGCTCCAATCTCTCTATTTTCGAAATTCCTCGTCACCTACTGGTTGGCTGCTACCAGGCAGCTTCACCGTAACAAACTGCTCCTCATTGTACTTTTCGAATGCGGGACCGAGGCTGGAAATGATATCGGGGGAGGTTTCGAGGGTGAGGGACTTGATATCTGCAGATTCGCGTCAGTATTTTCCATTGCCCAGCAATCGCATTTCGACCGGTAATACCTGCGATAACATCTGCGAGCTAGGAGTCCATATTAGCTGATGACGCCGCGGACAAGAGGATGATATTAGCACGTACCTCTCCCGGAGGAGCACCCTCGACAAAGGCAGAAACAGTCTCTAGATCCGACATGGCTAAATGAGATTGAATGCGCCGTGTATAGGTATATGGCGTAAAGGACGGGCGTTGGCGTTGGCGTTGGCGTTGAGGCTCAGGGCGTGGAGTTCTTGAGGCACAGCATGGGCCACAGTCAAGGGGAGGCGGGGCAGAGGATGGAGGAGCTCCATTAGCTTAGGTGGAGCAGGAACAGGTAGTTAGGTGACGGCGTCAGTGGGGTCAATGCTAGCACTTCTATTTGCTTAACATCTATTGCAAGGACAGACGGGACTTATAACTTGGAACACCCAGGGTATCAAGATATCATCAAATCATTTGTGCTCCTTAAAGAATCGACTCCTCGAATTTCTAAGTTACGGCTCTAGCTATCTCGGCTGTTCTGGTAACCGCTTTACCCCGTCCATTATTCTTCCACTAATAGTTCAACAACTTCTTGATATTATCATATATTCCTGGGAACAATGTTAGCTTTGGACCGTCATCACAATGATCTTTCATTTACTTACTCGCAACGTCAGGAACATTAAACTTTTCATATAGCAAAGGCGAGTGAATACTCCATCCAGCAACTCGAGCGACTGGTGCCTCTAATCGCAGGAATGTATCATGGTCTTCTTGAATGGTGGCGGCAACTTCAGCACCAATACCTGCATTCACCATGGCTTCGTGGACAACCATGACTCGCCCTGTCTTGCGAACACTCTGGAGTACGGTCTGTTTATCCCATGGATACAGAGTTCGAAGATCGATCAACTCAACAGAGATGCCTAGGTCCTGCTCTGCCTGCTTGATGGCGTTTTGGCATAGGTAGAGGGGTTGACCGTATGAGACGATTGTGACATCCTTGCCTTCCTTGAGAATCTCGGCCTTCGATAGTGGGAGTTCGTATGAACCAACAGGAACTTGCTCGACGGCAGCGCGGTACAGGATCTTGGGTTCCATAAACACACAGGGATCGTTGCTGCGAATTGCGGCCAGGAGGAGACCCTTGGCTTGAGCTGGCGACCTTGGCATGATGACCTTCAGTCCAGGAATATGTGTGAATAGACTCTCGGGAGATTGTGAATGGTAGAGACCTCCGTGACCAACACCACCGCAGGGCATTCGTACTGTCAAGCCACCCACACTTCGCCCGCAGGACCCGTCACGATATCTGAACTTGGCAGCCTCGTTGACTAATTGATCGAAAGCTGGGTAGACGTAGTCGGCGAATTGAATCTCAGCAATAGGTCGCATGCCTTCCGCAGCAAGACCAATACCGAATCCCATGATACCCTGTTCTGTAAGGGGAGTATTGAATACTCTCTCGGCACCATGGGTTTCGGCAAGGTTCATAGTACATCTGAAAACACCACCAAAAGCAACATCCTCTCCAAAAATGACCACAGACTCATCCTCAGCTAGTGCAATTCCCATCGCGTCGTTGATGGCCTGAAACAGGTTCATCTTCTTGGTCGGGCCATTTCGAATGCTTTCAGGCAGCTCCTTGTGGCTCAAAGCAGCCTGTGAGTTATGTGCGAGGAGAGGAGTCGTGCCATAGTCGACAGGCAGATTTAGTTTGGCATTCGGCGGATGTGTCGAGTAGCACTTTCGTCCTACAGGAAGCGCAAGTGAGAGTCGTGCAGTCGAGGGATTGCTGACAACGTGTGCCCTCTTGAATTGGTGAATAACACGATGCTTCATGGCGATGGACTGGCAATGTTCACAGGCGGTAATGGCAGGAGATGGGTGATTAGAGATTCAATTTGAATGGCATGTCAGAGGAGTAGTAGTAGCTGAGTTGTAGCAGAATGATTATACCTTAGATATCCAAAGCCAGCCGAAGGAGGCTTATTGATTGACTGATCCTCGGTGAAGGTGATGTCAAGCTCGGCTTGCAGCGGGCTCAGCGGAGTTGGCGGCGGCTTCTATCGCCCTCATGATCTAATGCCGAACGAGACGGAGAGTTACCCAATCAGCTCCTAATAACACGGGTCATTACACAGGAAACACTAAACAGAACTACACGGTAGAGTATAAATCATTTGATCAAAGGACTATTTCACTATGCGCAGCAAGCTTGATGAGCCGAGCTGAAGATAGTCTGCTAATAGCACTGATAAGGATAAGTCATACAAGGATCATCATCGAGATAGTACAAGTACTGAGATCTTATCTTCCCAAATACTGCAAGCGATAAGTCTTTGACAGAATTATTCGAGAGAACAAAAAAGTGCTTCATCACTTATATTCTACTTTAAGAAAAAATGGTTCACTTGGTGTCTCGCAAACCATCATGAGCCGTCCAGCCGTTCAGTCAAATCCAAGTGCTTGGCCGGCCAGAGTGTCCAGTCAACCAGCCTTCGCACTAATAAGCCAATGTAATAAGGATCGTGATGTTGCCAATATCTGGGCAAATCTTGGATGTATACGCGGACTCCAGGAGACATTGCATCTATTTTTGGGTGTCCATATCTGTACTTACTGAACGGCAATGAGTTGCCGTTGCGTACGTATGCTTCATTCGCTTTGACCATCGACATAGTGTTGCATTTGAAGAAAAAGGAAGTCCGGCTTCTTACGATAGGGCCGACTCCCTAATGACTGGAGCAATAAAAAGAAAACATGACGAAACGTGTCGAATCAGTCCTGGGTTATCGTTTCGACGAGGTCTGAGCCTGAGCCTGGGCCTGGGATAATTCCAAGGATATATCTGGTTGCCCCGACAACCACGATCGGCCAAGACTGACGTCGTAATTGGTCGTAAAACCATTGACACTCGCTCAAGTCCATTTTTGTAGAGATTGCATTCCAATTACGCCGTCGCTACATGTCTCACGATGCCAGCACCGGAGTCATCGCGGCGCTCTCACTCACACCGACCTCGAGATCGCGATAGGGACAGAGAAAGGGATCGACGAAAGAACGGTCAGCGGAAGAGGAAATCGCAAAGCTCCCGGCGACCAGTCTCTGGATCTGAAGACACCCGGGACAGAAGTTCAAGAACATTATCAGCGAATGCCTTGGCGGATCTAGAAAGGGAGAATGCGCGACAGAAGAAACGGAGCGAAAGGGCGAGTCGAGACTACAGAGATGAATCACGAAGACGAGAACGACGAGATGAACACAAGAAAAGAGATCGGGACCGAGATCCCGATAGGCCACGAACTCATGGCAAACACAAAAAGAAAAGGGTTGTGAGCGGTGCTATCATGGAAGAGGGACGATCCAAGACTCATCTTCGAGGTGGCTGGGGGAGTGTGGACAGTGTGGAACAAGAGAAGGACTTTTATCTATCAAAACCGCCAAAGAAGAGCAAGAAGAAACTCTGTAAGTTTTGATGTGGTGAAATTGGCAGTTGAGAAGCTGACTGGACTTAGGGATTGCACTCGGTGTGAGTGCTGTTGTCCTCATCATCATTATTATCGTGGCAGTAGTCGTCAGTAAAAAGAACAAAGGCGGTGGAGGAGGTGGTGGCAGCAGCAGCGATAGTTCAGACGATTCAACTGAGGATACTTCTGATCTGGACGGGATGGACCACTCAGAAATACCCGAGAAGTGGCAGAACACGTATCTCGATCCTTGGACATGGAAGTCAACCACCGATTTCAACCTCACTTTCACTGACCAAATGGTTGGAGACTTGCCCGTCATGGGTCTCTACGACGACTGGGACGACTCTGCCCGAGCCAACGACAATGTCCCACCTCTCAACAAACCCTGGGGATCTTACGCGAAGAAACCTGCTCGCGGGGTCTGTATTGGAGGATGGCTCTATCTGGAGCCCTTCATTAGCCCATCTCTTTTCAATTATGATACCAAGGAGGGCATCATTGATGAATGGACTCTGTCCGAGAAGCTGGGTTCCGAGGCTGCGAAAACTCTCGAAAAACATTATGCCTCGTTCATTACAGAACAAACCTTTAAGGATATACAAGCAGCTGGTCTCGATCACGTCCGAATTGGTTTCAACTACTGGGCTGTCGAGGTCTACGATGGTGATCCTTATGTGTACCGAACATCTTGGAGATATCTTCTCCGTGCGATCGAGTGGTGCCGTAAGTACGGCTTGCGAGTCAACCTGGACTTGCACGGTATCCCGGGGAGTCAAAACGGATGGAACCATAGTGGTCGATGGGGTTCCATTGGCTGGCTCAATGGAAAAGACGGTAGCAAAAACGCAGAGCGGGCACTTGATATTCACAACCGTTTGTCCAAGTTCTTCGCTCAGCCTCGCTACAAGAACATCATCACCCACTATGGTCTCGCCAACGAACCTCGAATGACCAGCCTTAAAACAAGCGATGTTATCCAGTGGACCGAAAGTGCATACAAGCTCGTCCGCAAGAACGGCATCAAGGCCCTCGTGGTGTTTGGGGATGGATTTATGGGACTTGAGAACTGGCAGGGCTTGATGACGGGCTACGATGATATGGTCCTCGATGTCCACCAGTATGTCATTTTCAACGAGAACCAGATCGACTTTACCCACAAGGAAAAGGTTGAGTATGCTTGCGACGGCTGGACTGAGCAGGCTGAGATCAGTATGAATCCTTCGACAGGCTATGGACCAACCATCTTTGCCGAGTGGTCTCAAGCCGATACAGACTGCGCAAAGTATCTCACTGGCGTAGGCTGGGGCACTCGCTGGGAGGGCACGTACGATACCGGAAACAAGGACACTTCCATCTTGGAGCCTCGTTGCCCTACCAAGGACGATAAGTGTTCATGTCGTGGCGCCAACGCCGACCCTAGCGACTGGAGCGACGAGTATAAGAAGTTCCTCAGGATGTTCGCCGAAGCACAGATGCACAGTTTCGAGAAGGGCTGGGGATGGTGGTACTGGACATGGAAGACGGAGAATAACTACCAGTGGAGTTATGAGTCTGGCCTCAAGGCGGGTGTTTTGCCCGAGAAGCCTTGGAATCGCGACTTCAACTGCGACAAGGACGTCCCTGACTTTGCCAAGAGTGGTTTGCCGGAGTATCTTTAGAGATGTGTTTTGTGTTGGTGGATATACCGTATCAGTTGGGCAGTACATGTTGGCGCATTTCGGCGTTTGGGTTTGGCTTGCTTGGAATTGAGATAGAATATGCATGCATGGTTGGTATATGTTGTTCTATGAGGACTGATGAGAAGTATTTATGATGGGGGAACTCAGTGTCCCAAGGTAGATAGATGTATAATGACAATATAAGGAAAATGAGTTGCTACTATGCTGTTGGTTCTCTGGCTTCAGATCGTCAGTATCATGACTCAGTCCTAGGTGTATCATGCCTCAGAATATGTGAGACAGTTCAGAGACATGTCATGATGATCATGATGACCTACTAGAGGGTCTTGTCCCGTGATCGGAAGTGGTATCCGAGAGTCGGTGAGCAAGGACAAGCCCCCAAGCCCCAACCCGGACGGTGGAAGGCCTCAGAGTATCCGACAGGACAGAAAACTCCCCGAGAGGATAGACATCATCATGGCTAGCTAGTTTCATGAGCCGCCCGAGACCCGCCGATTGGGCGTTATGATTGCCGCTGATCCATGACACGGATCTGGTGTCATCTGTTTTATGATTCGGTGAATAGTCGAGATACCTAGCAAATTTATACATCCTGATGAGGCAAAGACTCCCTTGAGATTTAGGCCACTCATAGACAAGAACGAGCCTCGGAACTTTAAGTCAACTGACAGATTTAAATGGCTAATAGCAGTGGAATATGGTGCCTTTGAATGTGTAGTGAACCCTAGCTACCATGAAACCAACTCCATTGTAGATAAGATATGAGCTTCGGAGGTTGTTTACTATCGTTGATTTTTTGGTAGCGACATATATATAGGGCGGGATTTCAGCATTAGCCAGCCCATTCCACAACAGGATATGCATTTTGAGAAATTTATGTACTGCGAAAATGATCCAGTAGTTAGGTAGTTGTTCATGCTTGAATTATAAGACTAGAAGCATGCCATAGCAACACTTAGATACCAGTTTATATAGCGTTTCATACGATGAAGCTGAATTCCTACGGAAGAACAAACTTACTTTGTGACAGGCCGGGAATCAACGACACTACTATTCAATATGTAACCTAGGTAAAAACAAAACGATAGACATGTCACATTCATAATCAGAATCACAAACATGATTTGGGCACGCACGCCTTTTGTATATTTTTGCTGCATGTGTCTCTGAAGGAATGTGTAAGAGATTCCGATCGCGTTGCTCACTGGCGAGTCACTTATGTCAAAACGAAATCCAATCACGAACATTCTTTGTTGTCTCTCATATCATCACCATCATTATCGTCATCATCAACTTGCCAAAGCGAATACCTTGGTGGATACGGGCCAGAGGCGGTGGCAACTGTACCATATCAAGTGTCGATGTGTATGTTCCACTTCAATAGCTTTCCTGGGGCAGGGGAGGGTTTCCTGTGCTGTGTTTGTTTGCTTGTTTCTTTGTTGAGAGGGAAAGGAAAGGGAATCCGGCCATGAATAGCATCATCGTCATCATCATCACCTAAGTTACCATCAATGAATCACTTCATGCAGACACTTGCAAGACGAGGTAGTAGGCTTTGGCTCCAGCACCCCTTCGGTAGTCCTGCAACTCAGCAGACAGGACCTTGATCTTGTTCTGCTCGGTGAGGCTCTTCACGTGTGCCTCATAGCCACCAGTCTGCCAGATCTCACGGATGACGGTAGCCACGATGTAGCCTCCTGGCTTCACGACACGCACAAATTCACTGATAGCCTCGGGACCAACGTGAGACTGAGTCAGGGTTCCCACACAGGTTACGACATCATAAGAGTCATTCTTTGCGGACAGCGGTCGCGACAGGTCACATACGTCCAGGTTGCGATATGCGTCTGTAGCGCGAGCCTCTTCGAGCATGCCTGGGCTGATGTCGACACCGTCGATTTTCTTTGCGCCCAGGCGAGCGAGGAAGACACCGACGAGGCCGGTGCCGCAACCAGCGTCAAGAATCTCGACGTCTTGGTTGATGGTAGGAGAGCCTAGGACTTGAGGGACATAGGCAGCGGCAATGGCTGGGCCGACATAGTCTTGGCCTTTGCCAGTGATCTCCTCATTGTAGGTCTTTGCCCACTCATCATAGACAGAGCGAGCATGATCAGCCGAGGTGAGGGAGTAGATCTTGGGGAAGTATTGGGCAGTGGTTTGAGAAGACATGATTTTGAGTCAATTGGGGGGGTATTTATGATAGGGGTAGATGTGAAGTGTGTTTGATTGAGTTATGTAGAGGGTTCAATGAGTAGGGGTAAGATTGCAGGGTATTCAAGTTGAGTGTTTATGAAGTGCTTGTCCGTGTTGAAGACGAAGAGAGAGCTTGGTTGATGGTTTAGAATCTCAGCAACTTGGAGGAGAAAACCGCGACCTTTTATAACCAGATCAAACAAATAAAACCCCGCGTCTCGTCTTGTTTCCCCTCGTCTCCCCGCGTCGTAGAGGTTCCGAAATGACGTTTGAGCGTGCTGCTGAATGCGAATCCATTGGTGGAGAGGATTATGATTGCGACTCGGCGTGGCCCAAAGAAGCGATCCGAGGTAAGCGCCTAAAAGATGGAAAGAAATCTGTACATTTTGATAGTTGTAATAATAGGTTTTCGTCAGAGAAATGGGGGTTGTCAAAAAGAAACCGCCATGTTTATGTTCATGGTGCGAGTTGTTGGAGGGGATCCAAAGGCAACGCAACGCAACGTTGGCGGTTATGATCAGCCGAGGACTCTTGGCCAACCGGGCCAATTGATTGTATTTCTGTTGAGCCGAGTAGAGCTATGTGTCCTCTTTTCCACTCAAGTTTCTATTTCCTTTGGGGGCTTTTTCTGTGTGTTTGCGATCAGTCTGTTTGTGAATTATGACAGTCTTTGGCTACACCACCAGAGACCAAACTTTGGCCCGATCGCAACAACTAGGTGTAACCAAAGATACGTCAATAATCACAAGGAAAGAAACACTGTTCCCTGGAGAATCCAATGGGACAAGGTCATGGTTGGAAAGAAAAGAGTTCAGCCGGTCGCGGGCGCATCATGAGTGAGCCCTATTGCGAGAATTACATGCATAGTTGCAGCACTTTTGCCTCGTTCGCTTCTGCCAGACTGGGCAGTGCAGCTGCAGTGTGCCTTGGAAGTGCATCTCTGAGTTGCAATACAAGCTCATGGTTGAAGCGGGATTGGTGCGATTGTCATGTCTCTCGAGCGCTGATAACTGTCTCGACAACCATTGACTATTTGAAGGCATAGATGTGGCATACCTTACCTCTTTACTGCTACCTCTCCTCATGACTCTTTAATTGCATCTGTTCGTTAACTACGACTGGTGTGCATCAAGGGACCTGCTTACCCTACAACACACGATGTCTCTAAGTCACACGCATTTTCCTGGCGTTCCATTCTGCTGACCGAGCCTTGACTGATGTCCCGCATTACAACCCTACCAGCGCCCGCAGTGGTACATACATACGAGTGAAACTGGATGACGACATGTACGCATGTTATCTTAGGCATCCTATCAGACATCGTGAGAGGTGCCAAGATATTTGATAATTGGTCCCGTTTGGTCCATGTTGAGCCGTGTCTGCGATATGCAAGTGATTCGAGCCCTGGTTCGTCAACTCGAAATAGCTAAGGGGCTCTTATTGACGGAGTCGGACAATATCTCCATCAGCATGTGAAGCATAACCGGGTTTTGAACTCTTGCAGGGTCGTATTGCTTGAGCATGAGGCTCTCTTATTCGACCACCTGAAGATGGCCATTGTTAGCGTGATACGGAGCTACTGATGTTCGATCAAGTTCAAGGTACCCAAACACGAGACCAGGCATTACTCTTTATTTTTGTACTAATAACTCTTTAAAAGGGAGCCTCATAAGTCTCGATATGCGGGGAAATATCAATTTAAAATCATGAGATTATTGTTGAGCTCTTGTTCTCCCTTGCCCCGGGAAACTCAAAGAGAGAAGAAGTGATGAATATGTATTTGCCATGTTCAAGAGCCGAAAGAATTCAATAAAGACAAGTTTTAAAGAGCTTAAACTCCGAAAGCCGAAACAAGAGCTCTTCGGGCTTAATACGCAATGCATTATTAACGCTCCATCGCCGAGATCAACACGGAGAGGGGGAATAATAGCCCGTCTCAGCGCAACAGCATCTCGTAGTCAACTTGTCCTTCTCAAGAAGTGATTTTCATGGGAATATCATGAATCTTATTTCACCAGAAATGACTGACTTCGCAATTACGGAATACGCGATACGCGCCCTGCTTCTCCTAGAGTCAAGCTGTTCAATAAGCAAGCCACGGCGGCCGATCGCTCCTCTCGAGACCCTAGCATGTCAGCTTTGATTGGGTATTAATAAACATTTCGCATATTTACAGGGTGCCAAGTCATGTTTTTGGTCAGCAATGACAACAAGAGGTGATTTCCACAGTACGAGATAGTCAAGATTCTAAGTTTGTGGTGGTGAGAAATGGCAGAGTTTTGCTGGAGAGCAAGGTGTTTAGAGTGTATATAAAGACTAGAAGGACCGGAGTCTTGGCATAGTTTTGAATACCAAGTTATAGTATCTTTACTACGAGAAGTTGATTCTCTTTACTAGAGCTCAGAATAACTACCTGAACACTGTTGTTAACAGTCAGAACCATGAGTAAAATGGATCGCGACATTGAAAAGACGTCAACGAATTCAGGGACACTCGGCCCTGAAAGAAACGACACGACTTTTGCGCCCATTCAACCACCACAAGCAATCAGAACTCGCTCGCGAGCATCTGCTAGGATATCCCGTTGTCAGTCCCAGAATGGTTACAGCTGTAACCCCCACAGCGAGCCTTCGGATGATGAAGTCGAGAAGGATCCTTTCGAAGTCGGCTGGGACGGGGGTGACAATGACAGTTTATGCCCCCGGAGCTTCCACAAGATGAAGAAGTGGCTCATTATTATCATTGTATCGTCTGGCAGTTTCTGCGTGTAAGTATTTCTTCAGCATCATCAACCGAGATGGATACTTATGTGAACACAGAACTGCTGCTAGTTCCATCTATACATCTACATATGAACAGATGGAAGATGAATTTGGCAACTCACGAGAAGTCTCCATCCTTGGTCTTTCATTCTTTGTTCTAGGTATCGGACTAGGTCCCATGTTCCTCGGTCCCTTGAGTGAGTTTTATGGTCGACGACTCATCTATATTGTATCGTGGACTCTTTATGTCATCTTCATCATTCCTCAAGCCGTGGCTCAGAATATCGAGACCGTGATTGTGAGTCGATTCCTCGATGGATTCGCCGGTAGCGCATTTCTGGCTGTGTCAGGGGGTACTGTTGGAGATCTCTTCACAGCAGACGAGTTGCAAGCGCCTATGTTGATGTTTTCACTTGCACCCTTTGTTGGTCCGTCAATTGGACCTTTGATTGGGGGGTTCATCAATTATAACACTGACTGGAGGTGGACTCATTGGGCTCTTCTGATCTGGGCATTCGTTCTACTATTGGGCATTGTGTTTCTTGTCCCTGAGACATATCGTGAGTTCAAATTAGCATTCAGGGCCAAAATGTCCCAACTAACCTCCACCAAGATCCGATCCTGCTGAAGAACAAAGCAAAACAAATGCGAAAGGAGACTGGAGATGGAAGATGGAAAGCCCCTACAGAGAAGGTTCAGAAATCAGCCGCCAGCGCGATAGGTCGATCGCTTCTACGACCATTTCAGCTATTGATTTTCGAGCCTATGTGCCTGAACCTATGTATCTTTACAGCCATCATCCTCGGCATTCTGTATCTCTTCTTTGGAGCCTTTCACCTTGTGTTCAGCGATATCTACGGTTTCAACCTTTGGCAGAATGGCTGCTCTTTTCTCGGGATCCTCGTGGGAATGCTGCTCGCCGCTGGCCTTGATCCCTTGTGGCACAATATTCGGAGCAAACTCATCCGCAAGTTGAACGAGGAGACGGGCATTGAAGGAAACAGCCAGCCTGAGTTTAGGCTACCTCCAGCCATTTTGGGAGGTATCCTTGTCCCAGTTGGTATATTCATGTTTGCTTGGGCGTGTTATCCCTGGGTTCACTGGATTGTGCCCATAATTGGATCAGCAATCTTTGGAGCTGGGTAAGTCATCACGATCCATCCCATATCAGCCCAAACCGTTCGCAGGCCTCAAGGTAGCGTCATCAATGGGAGCACCGTGATACCCAAGTCCAACTTTACACGGGACTGAGACAAGAACCGGACGCGCGGAATCGCATTCGCACAAGGAGGGCAAAACATGTCTTAGTCACCGCTTGGTCATTCCTCTTGATCTCGTATCCCCTGAACCTCTGCTTGACGAACTGCAGCTAACCGCTCGACTCTGATATAGAATCCTACTTGTGTTCAGTGGAGTCTTCACCTTTCTAGTAAGTCCAGCTTTGTGCCTGTATCACAAGTTTGTGACAGGCTCACCGCACGTTACACAGCTCTCTGCTAGCCATTGTGACAGGAGTGTGCTCGTGCCAGGGAAGAGACTGTGCTGACTTTGATGGAAATAGGTGGATGCGTATCCACAATATGCCGCAAGTGCCCTTGCTGCAAATGCATTCGTGCGTTGTGTCTTTGCTGGTAAGTCGTAAGAGTATCTACTCCCATGGATCTGCCTGATTCTTCACCGCCGGCTGGCTACCAACTTCCCCTGACATAGCCTATTCTGGGGAGCATGAGGCGTCAGCCCGGAGAGTTGTTGAGATTCAGCTGCATGAATTATGGCTAACTCGAGTCCTGCAGCTGCATTTCCCCTGTTTGGTAACCAGATGTACACTAAGCTCAACAACCACTGGGCTTCGTCTTTGCTAGCTTTTCTGACCGTTGCCATGATGCCCTTTCCTTACCTGTTCTTCAGGTATGGAAAGAGAATCAGAGCCAACAGTCGATTTGCTACTTCTTGAAGAAGGTTCATCGAGATTAAAGTTGGGTATATGAGAAGAGTATGTGATCAGGGCTCCAAGTCCTGACTTCATCCGTGTACCCGCGCCACCAAACCAGGTACCAAAGCCCCTGCACTCCAGCTATTAGATGAACATCTCACACTAATACACCGAGAGTCTTACCAGGTCAAGGGTGGCTTTTGCGGAAGGCGAGTGGATTGATCGCTGGTTGTACAAAAAGGCCGGTCTAGGTTCTAAACACAGGGCTTGGAATATTGGCG